CCCCCCCCCCCATTGTAAGTTAGGGCTCTGGGCATGTGGATATGTAGCCAAGACCAAGCCTGGGTGACTTACTTAGGACAATAATTCCTGGAGTGGAAGATGCCAAAGAAGTCACCTGCTCAGCTCCCTGCCTTCTAACAGGTCAACCGGTACTGCCTCTACTTTGCAGACAAGACAATAAAGGCCCAGGGAGACCCAATGATCCAAAATCCAGACCCTAGGAAGTGGTGGTGGTGGGTATACTCGACTAGGGAACAATCCTGTGTTAGAATCAACCATTCTGGCTTCCAAGGCCTGGAAAGTCTGTTAATTTCTTTATATTCTCCAATGTCTAATAATTGTTCTGTTTCTCTCGGCACCTCCCTGCCACTTCCTGGCAGCCCTGGGACAGAAGGTTTCCTCCTCTTGCACAGAGAGGGCCCCCAGCCAGCTTCTGAACGGATATCCGGCCCGCAGGATGCAGAGGAGGCAAAGGACTCATTGTTCTTGGGGCCAGCGCGCCCCTCCCCCAGGCCGGAGGACACTCGTCGCAGACCCCTGGGGTGACCGAGGGCGCATTTCCCAGGAGCGGGCCTTCGGAGGAAGCGAGGCTGCGTGTTCCGAGTCTGGTGTTCTGCGCGTGCAGCAGGAAGGCGCCGAGAGCCCGAGCAGAAATGAGCCCGGACCCGGCGCGCGCGTCTCCAGCACCAGCCTGGCGCTGTTGCTCACGAGCGCGCCCGCAGCCGGCCCGGGCGGCTCCCTCTGCGTTCCCGCTCCTCTGAAGGAGTTTTGTTGCAATAGGGCTCGTTCATTTGCGAACCCCGCGTTCTAGGAGGCCGTTTATTAGCGGAACCGGCCACTTCCCACGCAGGGACCCCTGGAGTCCTGGCCAGGGGACGCCGTTCGCTTGCACCCGCGGCCGCCGGGGGGCGCTCGGGCTGCGCGGCCACCGATGCCGCCCCGAGAGCCGGTCGCCGCCGAGTCGCAGACCCTTTCGCGCCCTTGGAGGAAACAAAGTGCACCTTTGTCAGCGACTGGGCGCGTGTGCGTGTG